TATATATATATATATATATATATATATATATATATATATACCACATTGTCTTTATCTATTCATCTGTTGATGGACTTCTAGGCTCTTTCCATAGTTTGGCTATTGTAATGTCACATCTATTTTTATTAATAATATTTATTTATAATGTCCCTGAATGTTTCCCAGGCAACAGAATTCAGCAGTTGTCTTGACTTTCTTTGGTGGTAGGTCCCCATTTCACTACTCACATAACATGTTTTGTCTAAAGGAAGGACCTAGATTTAGAAACTTGCCTAATAGACTTTAGTTATGGAAGGAGGAATTAGAGAAGGAGGTACTGAGAAGAAAAGGGAGTCTAGTGATTTTTTAGTTGATTGTACTAATTTTGCTCAGCTCCTAGACTTGCATTTCCCCCCAAATAAATTTTTTCTCTTTATTCTTTCTTTTTTCCTTCCTTCCCCTTTTTTTTTTTCCCCCCGTCACTTGTACTGGAGAGCCCATAGAATCTCACATTTTTCTATAAGGCTCTATTTCCCCCCATGAAACTCTGATTGTTTTACATTTGTGAAAAGAAAGTTTTGGAAGTTTACAGAAAGATGTTAGTTCTTGAGGTACCCGGCTGGCTCAGTCAGTCTAGCATGAAACTCTTTTTTTTTTTTTTAAGTTTTATTTATTCATTTATTTATTAGAGAGACAGAGTGCAAGCAAAGAGAGCAGCAGGAAGAGGGAGAAGCAGACTTCCCACTAAGCAAGGAGCCTGATGCAGGACTCCGTGCCAGAACTCAGAGATCATGATCTGAGCCAAAGGCAGCTGCTTAATGAGCCACCCAGGCATCCCTAGAGTGCGACTCTTGATCTCAGGGTTGTGAGTTTGACCCCCACATTGGGTGTAGAGATTACTTAAAAAATCTTAAAAAAGAGAGAGAGAGATGTTCTTTATTAAAATGAATATTTATTGGGTGCGCCAGGGTGGGTTTAGTTGGTTAAGCATCAGACTCTTGATTTTGGCTCAGGTCATGATCCTCAGGGTTTTGAGATTGAGTCCTCATGTGGGGCTCCTTACTCAGCCTGAAGTCTGCTTGAGATTCTCTCTGCCCCTCCCTCGGCTTGCACAGCAGGTGTGCTCTCTCTCTTTCTCTCGAAAATAAATAAATAAATCTTTTTTTTTTTTAAGATTTTATTTATTTATTTGACAGACAAAGATCACAAGTAGGCAGAGAGGCAGGCAGAGAGAGGAGGTAGCAGGCTCCCTGCTGAGCAGAGATCCTGATGCGGGGCTCGATCCCTGGATCCTGGGATCATGACCCCAGCCAAAGGCAGGGGCTTTAACCCACTGAGCCACCCAGGCGTCCCTAAATAAATCTTTTTAAAATGAATATTTATTGAGAATTTACCATGTGCCAATCATGGTTCTAAATACTTTACATGTATTATCTTGTGTCATCTTTTTAGTTGTCTTAAGTAATCTATGAGATTATGATCTTACAGATAAACTAAGGTTCTGAAAAGTTAAGTGACTTGCAAAATTTTGCTCATTGCAGGTTCACCCAACCATATGTCAGAGCTGGCATGCATACCCAGTCTAACTTCAGATTTCACTACCTTAACTCCTACACTTGAGTCTGTATGTCACTTAGAAAAATTTGTCTGATGATCTTCACAAACTGAGTCATTTTACTCCTCAGAGTTCAGCTGCTTTATTTCAGTTTCTGAAAGGAATGGTGATTGCAGTCTATTTCTGAAGCTGAGGAAATGACCAGAACCAGAAATTCCTTCATGCCTTCCCTAAAAGGCATTTAGTCAGGAAAATTCTCAACATGTTAGGTTTTCTGAGACATACTCACAGGTACCTAATACATCATGATAAATAAGGTGGACAAGGTGCATGGAAAACCATGTGTAAAAGTCTATCATACAAGCCCAAAAGTCAGTCTTTCTTAGCTCCCCTGGGGGTGAACCACAACCCATCCTTTGAGTTTCTGTCACTATCTACAGTTCCTGGCCCTGAGGCCTCTCAGAGCTTTCACTGTGTCCCAGTGGAAGTAGCATCTTTACTTTCACATGTGGCAGGACACCTGGCTTCTATCCCTAGCCCAACAATATTTAACCTTTGTGATCTTGGATAAGTCACCAACTTCTCTGTGTTTTTTCCCTTATCAAGCATATTGTTTACACAAATTTAGAGATTTAAAATATCTCCCCTGTCTCTTCATAGTGCTTGTAAAAGACCAAAATGAACAAAAGAGCAAAAAAGGTGTGAGAACCCTAAAACTAGAAGGAGATACACCAGACTCTTGTTATCTCTGGGATTATGGGAGGTATATATTTTCTTCTTAATATTTTTCCTGTATCTTCCAAGTTTTCTACAGTAAGCACATCTTCTTTTCTGATAGAAAAAGGAAAGAAAGGTTTAATAAAAAGAACATCACACCTTCTCATCATGGCCTTACAGTCTAAGTAAGTATGAAGTCAGAGTGACAGGGGACATCAGTTACAGATGTGCCTTTCGTGGCCCAGCCAGCCATGGAGCTCTGTGAGCAGCTCATGGCAGGGGCACCTGCCACACCCATTTTAAGGGACTACCATTCTCACTCTTCCCATTTTTGATTAGCAGTAACATACTAGCCATGTAGTTAAAAATCCAGTGTTACAAATTAACAGGTTCTTCCCTTTATAAAAAGATTCACCAGATAGACCTGTTATACTTTTAATAGACTATTTAAAAAATGAGTGCATCTAAAATATGATTCTAAATTTGATTTTAAAGTACAATTCTAAATCTCATGTACAGATAATTTTTATTTTTTTTATTTTATTTATTTATTTTTTTTAACTTATTTGACAGACAGAGATCACAGGTAGGCAGAGAGAGAGGGGGAAGCAGGCTCCCCGCCGAGCAGAGAGCCCGATGCGGGGCTCAATCCCAGGACCCTGGGATCATGACCTGAGCCGAAGGCAGATGCTTTAACCCGCTGAGCCACCCAGGCAGCCCCTGCACAGATAATTTTTAGAAACACAACTGCTTAAATCATGAAGGAACTTACTAAACATTGAAAAAAATTTTTAAACATTTTTTATTTAAATTCAATTAACATGTATTATTGGTTTCAGAGGTATAGGCCTGTGATTCATTGGTCTCATATAATAAGCAGTACTCATTACATCACTTGCCCTCCTTAATGTCTATCACCCAGTTACCCCATCCCTCTACCTCCTCCTTTCCAGCATCCCTCGGTTTGTTTCCTATGTTTGAGAGTCTCTTATGGTTTGTCTCCCTTTCTGGTTTCATCTTCTTTTATTTTTTCTTCTCTTCCCATGTGATCTCCTATTTTGTTTCCACATATGATCATATGATAATTGTCTTTCTCTGCTTGACTTATATCACTTGGCATAATACCCTCTAGTTCCATCCATATTAGTTAAACTTGTAAAAAGTACCTGCATGTTAAGATATTTTATGGCCTATTGTTGAAGTTTGAGTCTGGCAACTTTTGGACTCTTAATTTGGAAACTGTGGTTATGTTCAGTAAAACATAAATTAAAATTTTGAAAGATTGAGAAAATTGAGATAGGACTTCCTTACCCTTAATTCACTGCAAAATAAATGAATTTATCAGAAGTACCTGACAACTTAGTGAAAACCACACGAGCTTTGGAGTCAGACATACTGGATGTGGAATTTGGTTCTGTCACACAGCAGCTTTTTGTGAGCAAATCAACCTCTTTTTTTCTTAAGATTTTATTTATTTATATAGAGACAGACAGTGTGAGCAGGGAAAGGGCCAGAGAGAGAACCTCAGGCAGACTCTGTGCTGAGCACAGAGCCCCACCCAGGGCTCGATCTCACCACCTTGAGATCATGACCTGAGCTGAAACCAGGAGTTGGACGCTTAACCAACTGAGCCACCCAAGTGCCCTGTGATTCAGCCTCTTGAATTTGTCTTCAACATATACTGGGCATAATATAATGAACTCACCTCATATCTAGGCTGTTGTGAAGATTCTATCAAATAATGTTTTATTTAATATATATTTTTTTAATTTTTAAGTAATCTCTACACCCAACATGGAGCTCAAACCCACAACCCCAAGATGAAGAGTCACATATTCCACTGACTCAGCCAGCCAGGCACCCCTCTGTCAAATAATATTTCTTCACCTTTTTGATTCTCAGTAATCAGCACTCCTCCCTCTGTCTAAAATCAGGGCAGCATGTTCACATATGGCTGTGTTTTCAGTGGCAAGAGGCAGTCCTGAGACTTCACCTCTATTTCCCCTTTCCCTTCGGGCTATAGGGACCCAAGTTGGTCTCTACTTCCATGGTCTTAATGGGAATCATGTCAACTGTGATCATGTCAATTGTGATAGCTCATTACTTCCGTGTTCCCACACATCATGCCTGGCCCCCTCTGTGACTGCTTCCTGGTGGAACAGGTGATTGTAATCAGTCATTCCATGATTCATATTTCTGTCTTTGCTTTAGTTCCTAAGATAGATGGGTGGTATGGGACATGGGACATTGCCTTAGAGACAAGTCATGCCCTGGAGACTGTAGTCAGGCTAAATCTATCAAAGATATTAAAAAGAATATATAAGATCAAGAAGTAAATTATCTCTTGAGCTGTTGAATGTTCTCCCCAAGGTTAGTATTCCCCATTGTTTGCACTGCTGTTGGGTACTTACTCTGTATGATTACATGTTTAGGCAGCTTTCTACATAGAATGAAAATACTGCCGTGTACTGACAGTTATATGCCTGGTTTCTATGACTCTCAGCCAACACTTAGGAGCCAGGGGAATTTTTTACTTCTTGAGGGAATCACCCTATGGATTTTATTTTCAGGTGATTCTAAAGGGCAGCAAGGAGCGCAGCACTGGGGCCACTGGAGTTAATGCGGACTCCTCCCGCTCCCATGCTATCATCCAAATTCAGATCAAGGATTCAGCCAAGAGGACATTTGGCAGGTGAGTTGGAAATATGCAAGGAATTGCATTGTCTGCCTTTCCCTAATGTGACTTTGAAATATGTGTTATCAACAACAGGACATTCTGCCACCATAGAGTTTTTCATAAATTCAGGGATACAGAGTAGAGTTGTTAGCCCTGAAATAAATCATTGTATTAAAGTGCCATCAGTTGATTAACCATGAAGTAATGACCTATTGTTGGTCAAGCCTAAGTTATTAAAAGGGACATTGATTGCTTCTAACGTGAAACACAGTATAAGCAAAGAAATAGTAGGAAATGCATCTCAGCTTACAGGCAAAAAAAAAAAAAAAAAAAAAACCCGAAAGAAAAAGAAAGAAAAGAAAAAAATTAATCTATCCTCCTTGAAAGAAGCCATAAGACAATTGGGTACATTCATTGCTGCTCTGGTGCTATCTTAGCAAACTCTGCCACACTGATGGATGAGCCTCTCTCACCTCTGAGTAATGAGTCTTTTTTTTCTTACTTACTAATAATTCCTCCTCTTCTTCTTCTTCTCTTTTTGAGGGGGGGACCTGGAAAGCAGCCCACAAAAGTTTCTATTTAATTATCTAAGTGGTCACCTAAGTGATTTGCATTGTAGTCATTTAGCCTTATAGGAAGAATGTTTTATTAATTTTATTAATTTCTAACAAATGATTAAAACCAACAGAAGTGTCTGAGCAGTGAGGGCAACAGCTGACAGATCAGAGTCTTCTAATAATTTTGGAAAGCTAACAGTATGTCTTTTCTTTCCAGAGGTTGGGCCAGTGTTAATTTCTTCCTGCTGCCCCAAAATGCTGACTGATGTAAAAATAAACCAAGGCCCCCAAGAAGTTATCCCTGCTGTGTGTTTTCTCTAGGATCTCTTTTATTGACTTGGCTGGCAGCGAAAGAGCAGCAGATGCCAGAGACTCAGACAGACAGACAAAGATGGAAGGCGCAGAAATAAACCAGAGTCTTCTGGCTGTAAGTTGTTTGAAAGCTTTGATCTAAAAATCCTTTTTTTTTTTTTTTTTTTTAAGATTTTATTTATTTGACAGGAATCACAAGTAGGCAAAGAGGCAGGCAGAGAGAGAGGGGGAAGTAGGCTCCCCACTAAGCAGAGAGCCCGATGCGGGGCTCGATCCCAGGACCCCAGGATCATGACCTGAGCCGAAGGCAGAGGCTTTAACCCACTGAGCCACCCAGGCGCTCCTAAAAATCCTTCTTGAGAGATTTTTGCCCCTCTTTACATGGAGCCAGAGTGGGTGAAGGTGGGGTGGGGTAGAATCAGCTGAGCAAGGGCATGCTCCTGTCTGGAAGTGGGGTTCCAGGGTTAGAGATAGAGGCTGCCCAATCAGATTCTTATAAGTTCTAGGCAACTCTTTCCTTCTGTTCCTGCCTTTTCTTCCTCTGGTCAATCCCTTAGGAGCAGAAAAGTATTTAGGCAGCAGCTGAATGGTTAACTTAGGTAAGCTTTCTCTCTCTCATCAAGTTTTTAAATTGTATTAATTTTTCAAACATAACAAAATAGAATAAATCACATAATGACCTCCCAAATACTTGCACCCAGCTTCAACATGTGAGAAATCTAAGGAACCCTTTCCTTCCCCTGGTTAGATTATTGTAAAGCAAATCCTGTCATCTTGTCATTTCTTCCACAAATGTTTCATTATCTCGAAGAGATAAGGACTCTTGTTTTTTAATATAACTGTAATGCCATTATCATACCTGAGGAAGTAATTATGTAATGTTATCTATTATCCAGGAAGTATTATGATTTCTCCAGTTGTCCCATAAATGTCTTTTCACAGTTTGTTCAAATCAAGATGCAAACAAGACCCTTGGATTGCTTTTGATAGTCTCTTTTATTCTATATCAGTTCTTTTCTCTTTCTTATTTTTTTTTTAAAGATTTTATTTATTTATTTATTTGACAGATCACAAGTAGGTAGAGAGGCAGGCAGAGAGAGAGGGGGAAACAGGCTCCCCCAGGCGCCTGGTTTTCTCTCTCTCTTAATATCAGTGTATTTGTTGAAGAAAACTGGGTCCATTTGCCCTATAAGATTTTCCAACATTGGGAATTAGGTTGACTGCATCCCCACATTGATGTTTATTATCATACTCTATCCTCTGTGTTTTCTATAAAGTGGCTAAGATCTGTACTCGTGCTGTACAGGAGGGAGCCACTAAGCCACATGTGGTTATTGAGCACTTCAAATGTAGCTCCTCTGAACTGATACATGCCTAAGTGTAAGATACACACTGGATTGTGAAACAGGTATCTTATTAATATTTTTTCATATTGATTACATGCTAAAATAATATTTTTGCTGGTTTTTTATGTTTTTGGCTATATTGGATTACATATAGTTAAGATTATATAATTAAGATTAATTTCAGGGTACCTGGCTGGCTCAGTCAGTTAAGCGTCTACCTTCAGCTCAGGTCATGATCTCAGGGTCTTGGGATCAGCCCACATTGGGATCCCTGCTCAGAGGGGCGTCTGCTTCTCCCTCTCATCCCCCCACTCATGCTTTCTCTTGCTCACTCTCTGAAATAAAATCTTAAAAAAAAAAAAAAAGATTAATTTCTTCTTTTTAATGTGGCTACTAGAGATTTAAAATTTCTTCTTTTTAATGTGGCTACTAGAGATTTAAAATTATACACAAAGTTTGCGCTTGGGGCTAACATATTCCTATTGGGAAAGCACTGTACTAGAAGCTTGATCAGATTGAGGTTCTGGTTTTTTGGCAGGAATTCATGGGTAGTTTTTAGACTTCTTATAGGAACACATCAGGACGTACAGAATGTCTGGTTGTCTTTTTGTGATTTTTTTTAAAAAGATTTTATTTATTTATTTGACAGAGATCACTAGTAAGCAGAGAGGCAGGAAGAGAGAGGGGGGGAAGCAGGCTCCCTGCTTAGCAGAGAGCCCGATGCGGGGCTTGATCCCAAGACCCTGAGATCATGACCTGAGCTGAAGACATCGGCTTAACCCACTGAGCCACCCACGTGCCCCGCTTTTTGTAATTTTTAAGAATTAAAGGTTCAGGGGCGCCTGATTATGATTATCCTGAAATATAGTTCATTCAGTAGAGATAAATGCTTGCTTGATTCTTTGCCTTTACTCACCAGTTTTCAGAATGATTGTGTCCTAGTAACCTAAACCTGACCAATTAATTTGTTGTTATTTACTGTTTTGTTTGGTTTTGTATTATTATAGACTCATTTGTAATCATTATTCTTTTTGTTATTTAAATTATACATCCTTTGGGCAGTGGGAGCCTTTTCAAGTATGTTCCTCTAGTTTTTTTTTTTAAAGATTGATTTATTTATTTATTTGACAGGCAGAGATCACAAGTAGGCAGAGAGGCTGGCAGAGAGAGAGAGGAAGGGAAGCAGGCTCCCTGCTGAGCAGAGAGCCAGACATGGGGCTCAATCCCAGGACCCTGGGATCATGACCTAAGCTGAAGGCAGAGGCTTTAACCCACTGAGCCACCCAGGCGCCCCTGTTCCTCTAGTTTTTTGACCAACTATTAGTCTCTAATAGCTTCTAGCTTCCTGGCATTCTGGCAAGACAAGATGTTCCAGGCTCCTTTGTACATTTCCTTCCCCAGACCTTGAATCAGGCAATTCTTCAACAAGCCTTGGTTTTAGAAGGAAATGGCATTTTGAAACCAGTTAGGGTAAGCACCAGTTAGGGGTGCTTACTACCACTGGGTTAGTCCTTGCTTCTAGGCGTTTTTGTTGTAGCTAGGAAATTGATTTTTTTTAAATTATTTTTATTAACATATAATGTATTATTTGCCCCAGGGGTACAGTTCTGTGAATCATCATGATTTTTTTTTTGAAAGAGGAAAATACATTAGGGATTCATATTAATAAATTGATTCAAAAGTAGGGTAAGTGGGAGAGGGAGAGGCAGGCTTCCTGGCAAGCAGGGAGCCCGATGAGGGGCTCAATCCCAGGACCCTGGGATCATGATTTGAACCAAAGGCAGACCTTAACAATTGAGCCATCCAGGCACCCCACAGCATTTATATAATTTATTTGCTCTTCTTTAGTATATATGTGTTTCAAAATAATGCTGATATTTTTCATAATATGATTATTGAATTCGGATTAAGCTTTCTTTGCAGTTTCCTTTTCACCCTTAGGTTGTATCCCACTTAGGTGTACAGTCATAATACTGTGTTGCACAGTCATGTGAAATCTTTTCTATGTGTTTAAGCTTACCAATTTCATATTCAGTTAAAGTATAAACTGTAGAACAAGCCAATCTGAAAGAAGTCTTGTGTCCATCCCTATCCCCTCAACCCTATTACCTCCCACTTCTTAGATAACCATTTTTTTACCTATATATATATATTTGTATTCCCCTCGAAAAAAAGGGTAGTACACTGTAAACACTTTGCTCTTTTCACTTAACAATATCCTAGAGCTCACTACATGGCTGTATGTAGACATCTTCCTTTTTCCTTTTTGCAGCTGCATAGTGCTGCCTGTGCCCCTCCATATTATTTAAGTCATTTTGATCAAAACTGAAGTCTCCACCTCGGCACTTTATTTCCAGGCCTCATGAGGGATAAATTGCAAAGCAGAGAGAGGTGAGAAAGACAATCCACATCTCTTTTTACTTTTTCAGTTTCTGAATAATTTTTTTTAAAGATTTTATGTATTTATTTGACAGAGATCACAAGTAGGCAGAGAAGCAGGTTGGGGGCGGCAGTGAAGCAGGCTCCCCGCTGAGCAGAGATTCCCGATGCCGGGCTCAATCCTGGGACCCTGAGATCACTACCTGAGCCAAAGACAGAGGCCCAACCCACTGAGCCACCCAGGCGCCCCTGGTTTTTGAATAATTTTAGATTTACGAAAACAAAGTTGCCAAAATTAAATACACAGCATTCCTTCACCCAGTTTCCATATTACTAATATTTTGTATAACCATAATAAAATTATCTAAATCAGGAAATTAACATTGGTATAATACCAAGACAACAACAATAACATCGGTATAATACTATTTACTAATCTACAGACCTTGTGTGAATTTCACCAGTAGTCCCACTAATGCCCTTTTTTTGGTCCAGGATCCTATATTACATTTAGTTGTCATGTTCTCATAGTCTCCTCAGTTTTTATCATCTCTGACTTCAACACCTTCGAAGAGTGCTGTCCTGCCTGGTTTTTTGGTTTGGGTTGTTTTTGTTTTTCGGGTTTTTTTTGCAGATTGTCTGTGAATTTGGGTTTATTCAGTGTTTTCTCAAGATCAGATTGAGGTAAAGAATTTTAAGCAAAAATGCCACATAAATTGTACCCTTCTCAGTGAATCATATAGGTGGTACATGAAGTCAGTATGTCTCATTACTGGTGATGTTAACTTTGATCACTTAGTTAAGATGGTTTGTGCTAAGTTTCTCCACTATAATGTTAACCATTTTCCCTTTGTAATTAATAAATACCTTGAGGCACCTGGGTTGGTTAGGTGTCTGCCTTTGGCTCAGGTCATGATCCCTACATCCCGGGATCATGCCCTGTGGTGGGCTCCCCTCTCATCAGGGAGTCTGCTTCTCCCTCTGCTCCTCCCCCTGCTCATGCTCCCTTGCTTGCTCTGCATGTTCTCTCTCTCTCATAAATAAATAAGTAAATAAATAAATGACTTATGGGGGAGATAGTCTGAAACTATGCAATTTCCTATTTACATCACACTTTCGCTGCCTAATTTTATCATCTGTTGATTCTTTTTTTTTTTTTTAAGATTTTATTTATTTATTTGTCAGAGCGAGAGAGGGAGAGAGAGCGAGCACAGGCAGACAGAATGGCAGGCAGAGGCAGAGGGAGAAGCAGGCTCCCTGCCGAGCAAGGAGTCTGATGTGGGACTCCATCCCAGGACGCTGGGATCATGACCTGGGCCGAAGGCAGCTGCTCAACCAACTGAGCCACCCAGGCGTCCCATCTGTTGATGATTCTTAACCTGGAACAATCATTACTGTGATGTTTACCTCATGAGATTTCCTGTTCCTATCCTCCTTTTTACATTCATTGGTTGGAATTCTGCTATAAGACAGAGCTGTCCTGGAGCGCCTGGGTGGCTCAGTGGGTTAAAGCCTCTGCCTTCGGCTCAGGTCATGATCTCAGGGTCCTGGGATCGAGCCCCAAATCGGGCTCTCTGCTCGGCAGGGAGCCTGCTTCCTCCTCTCTCTGCCTGCCTCTCTGCCCATTCCTTATCAGCCTTTGAGAACAATCTAAGCAATAAAATAAATAATAAAAATGTATTATAATCTAGCAAATAAAAGAAATATCTACTTACTGTTATAAATAATAAATTGTAGGGAAAGGACAGCTCTTTTTTTTTTAAAGATTTTATTTATTTATTTGACATAAATTTAAAAAAAAAAGAAAAGAAAAATACCGGTGGAATTTTGATCAGAATGGCATTAAAAGTATAGATTGCTCTAGGCAGTATCAGGTGCCCCTACTTTTTTTTTTTTAATTTTTTTTAAGATTTTATTTATTTATTTGACAGATCACAAGTAGGCAGAGAGGCAGGCAGAGAGAGACAGAGAGGGAAGCAGGGTCCCTGCTGAGCAGAGAGCCCGATGTGGGGCTCGATCCTAGGACCCTGAGACCATGACCTGAGCAGAAGGCAGAGGCTTAACCCACTGAGCCACCCAGGCGCCCCAGGTGCCCCTACTTTTAAATAAAAGAAGGTCTTTTAAATAAAAGAAGGTCTCAGGGTCCTGGGATCGAGCCCCACATTGGGCTCTCTGCTCAGCAGGGACCCTGCTTCCCTCTCTGTCTCTCTCTGCCTGCCTCTCTGCCTACTTGTGATCTCTGTCAAATAAATAAAATCTTAAAAAAAGAGAGACTTAGTGATCTGAAGGGGCACGTGCACCCGAATGTTTATAGCAGCAATGTCTACAATAGCCAAACTATGGAAAGAACCTAGATGTCCATCAACAGACGAATGGATAAAGAAGATGTGGTATGTATACACAATGGAATACTATGCAGCCATCAAAAGGAATGAAATCTTGCCATTTGCGACGGCGTGGATGGAACTAGAGGGTATCATGCTTAGCGAAATAAGTCAATCGGAGAAAGACAACTATCATATGATCTCCCTGATATGAGGGAGAGGAGATGCAACATGGGGGGTTAAGGGGGTAGGAGAAGAGTAAATGAAGCAAGATGGGATTGGGAGGGAGATAAACCATACGTGACTCTTAATCTCACAAAACAGAGGGTTGCTGGGGGGAGGGGGGGTGGAAGGGGGGGTGGGGTTATGGACATTGGGGAGGGTATGTGCTATGGTGAGTGCTGTGAAGTGTGTAAACCTGGCGATTCACAGACCTGTACCCCTGGGGGGAAAAATATATGTTTATAAAAAATAAAATAAATCCTAAAAAAAAAGAGAGACTTTAAAAAATAAATAAAAGCAAAAATTCTCTATGGGTTTAAGTTAGTGCGTGCTCCTGCTCTCTTTCAAAATAATTATCAGGAAACTTATATCTGAATCTACACCTATGGGTGTGTATATGTGAGCAGGGAGGTGGGCGAGTGGTATATAGGTATTTTCTGTACTTAAGCGCACCTATAACTGCTAATCGTATGAGAGGAGGCAAGAAAAAAGGAGCTGGCAAGCCTAGACTGCCACCACATGAGCTTGGACTTGGGGGCCTGTGGGAAAGTCCCTGGTTTTTCTGTTCCCCACTACTGGGGCTAATCCTAGGATCAGAGCCTTTAGGATGGGAGACCCTCAAATAGACACAGGGAACTCAGGATGTTCACCCTTCTACCTTGAGTTTTCCTGTTGGACAAGAAACTACCAGAGCATTTTGACTTCCTTTTGGAGGACTGAGAATGGCTCTTTTAAGAAAAGTCTGATCTGTTCCTCTCTCTTTGCATGTGGTATTTCCTGCACTTGTTGTTGATCTACCCCTTCGCAGCTGAAGGAATGTATCCGTGCGTTGGATCAGGAACACACCCACACTCCCTTCAGGCAAAGCAAATTAACTCAGGTAAAGTTAAATGTGAACTTTGAGTTTGTTCTGTTTCGTTCATTCGTTTGTTCTTGCATTCATTTGCTCATTCAGCAAAGCCTCCAGTGCCAGCAAAGCATGATGGTCAGCTCAGGAGGGGGAGGGCAGGGAAGGAGTCCTATTCCTTCCAGGTCATTCTAGGCAGAGATGGGCATCCTCAGGCAGAGATGCCTGCAGTATGAAGCGACTGAGCTTTCACGGGCAGTAGTGCACTTCTGGCCACCACCCAACAGCTTTCTGCTTATTTCTAATAGAAACATTTTTGATTTAATGGAGTCTCTGAGCCTTTGGCTGGTATAGCTGTACTAAGCATTTTCTTAGCTGTGAGACTTAGTGTTTCAAGACAAAAAATAATGGCTGGAGTTAAAGATAAGATCTTTAAAAATTTTTAATTTACTATTTGCTTTTTTTTTTTTAGAAATTTTGTTTTTTCTTTTTTTTTTTTTTTAAGATTTTATTTATTTATTTGACAGACAGAGATCACAAATAGGCAGAGAGGCAGGCAGAGAGAGAGGAAGGGAAGCAGGCTCCCTGCTGAGCAGAGAGCCCGATGCAGGGCTCGATCCCAGGACCCCGGGATCATGACCTGAACTGAAAACAGAGGCTTAAACCACTGAACCACCCAGGCGCACCTGCTTATTTTTTTAAAGATTTTTTTTTTTTAAAGATTTTATTTATTTATTTGTCAGAGAGAGAGGAGCTAGAGAGAGCACAGGCAGAGTGGCAGGCAGAGGCAGAGGGAGAAGCAGGCTCCCTGCCAAGCAAGGAGCCCAATGTGGGACTCGATCCCAGGACGCTGGGATCATGAGCTGCTTAACCAACTGAGCCACCCAGGCATCCCAAAGATTTTTTTTTTTTTTTTAAGATTTTATGTATTGTGTGTAAGCCTGACGATTCACAGACCTGTACCCCTGGGGCATATAATACATTATATGTTAATTTTTTTTTTAAGTATTTTATTTATTCATTGGACAGACAGAGATCACAAGCAGGCAGAGAAGCAGGCAGAGAGAGAAAATGAAGCAGGATCCCTGCTGAGCAGAGAGCCTAATGTGGGGCTCGATCCCAGGACCCTGGGATCATGACCTGAACCGAAGGCAGAGGCTTTAACCCACTGAGCCATCCAGGTGCCCCTATATGTTAATTTTTTAAAAAGATTTTATGTATTTATTTGACAGAGAGATGAGAGAGGGAGCACAAGCAGGGGGAGTGGGAGGAGGAGAAGCAGGCTTCCCGACGAGCAGGGAGCCCAATGTACAGCTCGATCTCAGGACCCTGGGATCATGCCCTGAGCTGAAGGCAGACCCTTAATGACTGAGCCATCCTGGCGCCCCCAAACTGTGCTTCTTAATGAATGGAAAATGCCAGTAATTCAGCACTGTAATGGCTGCAGAACAGTGGCTCTGTATGTAGGAGTCTACCTACATACAGACTGCTCTGAAGGCAGTTATGGGTGCCCATGAGTCCTTTCTGCATGCACCACATCCTGTGCTCAGTGGGGGACAGACTAGCGTAGACGGCAGTCTAGGTAAGGATCTTTATATTTTAGCAAAGGTTCTTATTCTGTGCAGCTAACCTAATGGCTCCACAGGGCCTGGGGTAGAACCTGTAATATAACTCATTAGACTCATGATCTGTGGGTTGGATTCTATCTTCTCAAACATGATTTCAACTAGAAATTTAAGAAACCCTTTATGGGTGGTTAGTCCTGATTCTAACATTGGCTCTGACATTTTTTTTTTTTTTTTGAGATTTTATTTATTTGACAAGAGATCACAAGTAGGCAGAGAGGCAGGTGGGGGGTGCAGGGAGCAGGCTCCCCGCTGAGCAGAGAGCCCAATGTGGGACTCAATCCCAGGACCCTAAGACCATGACCTGAGCCGAAGGCAGAGGCTTAACCCAGTGAGCCACTCAGGCGCCCCTTGCTCTGATCTTTGTTAAAACAAGTTCACCATCCCCAGAAAATGCGTTCCTGTTTAATCCCACATCAGGCTCCTTGCTCAGCAGGGAGCCAGCTTCTCCCTCTGCCTGCCGCTCCCTCTGCTTGTGCTCGCTCTCTCAAATAAATAAAATCTTTAAAATAATAATAATAATGGTAATACTTCAGAAAAAAATGAAAAAATAATTCAGGGTCACTTGGCTCAGTCAATGGAGTGTGACTCTTGGTCTTGGAGTTGTGGGTTCAAGCCCTATGTTAGGTATAGAGATTGTTTAAAAATAAAATCGTTTAGGGATGCCTGTGTGGCTCAGTCATTAAGTGTCTGCCTTTGGCTCGGGTCATGATCCTAGGGTCCTGGGATCGAGCTCCATATCGAACTCCTTGCTTGGCGGGGACCTGCTTCTCCCTCTCCTTCTGCCCTGCTTGTGCTCTCTCTCAAATAAAGAAATTTTTAAAAATAAATAAAATTGTTTAATAATAATAATTCAAACAGTATATGTATATACAAGTACAAAAGATGGCAAGAGGTACCTGAAAATCCTACCTCTCAGTGATAATCACTGCTACATTTTGGTGACTATCCTTCCAGATGTTTTCCTGCCCACATATCTACACATAGATCTACTTATAGAGTTATGGAATCATATGCCTTCTTCACTCAAAGTTGTAGATCTTCCCGTGTACCTAAGTTCAGATATACCTAATTATTTTTAAAGGTTGTACTGTAGTCAGTTAATATTTAGTTTGCAGGGCACCTGGGTGGTTCAGTTGGTTAAGCTCCTGCCCTCGGCTTAGGTCATGATTCCAGGGTCCTGGGATCAAGCCCCACATTGGGCTTCCTGCTCAGCAGAGAGTCTGCTGCTCCCTGAGCTTGTGCTATCAAATAGATTAAAAAAAAAAAAAAAAGTATTCAGTTCCCTGTTTACAGACTCCTATTTTCTAATTATTATAATGCTATAAAGCATATCCCATATATTACTTTTCTTTTTTAAATCAACTGAGCAGTTCTCTCTAGGATAATGTCCTGGAAGCATGCACATTTTTTATATTTTTATACATATTGCCAAACTGTCTTCTCAAAAGCTTATACCGTTTCATTGTACACATGAAATGGTATAGCAATGTAGAAAAGTGTCCATTTCCCTAGACCCTCACCAGGGCCAGGGTATTATGAGTCTTACTTAATCTTATGGGTGAAAAATACTAGTGTTTTTACTAGTTTGTTTGTATTTCTTTGGTTGGTGAAGTACCTTTTTTCTGTGTTTTTGATCATTTGTATTTATTCTTTGTAAATTGCCTTTTTGTAGGAGGGAGGGGAGCTATGGCCCCGTGTCCTGCACACAATAAGTAGTCAGTATGTCCTTTGTTAATTGATTTCATTGACCTGGTTCTGTTTTGGACAGGTCCTGAGGGATTCTTTCATTGGTGATGCCAAAACCTGCATGATTGCCAACATCTCACCAAGCCATGTGGCCACCGAACACACTCTGAATACCTTGCGTTATGCTGACCGGTGAGTCGCTCCCAGGTAGCAGGTTGTGTGTGTGTGTGTGTGTGTGTGTGTCTCAAACACACACAGAGATCTGATCTTGAGCTCCAGCAGAAGTCTGTTCTGGAGGCCATGATCCTAGTACCAGGGGAATGTGTAATTGGTCATTTGAAGACTGTGACTTGGTAGGCCTTGCCATTTGACAAGTGTGAATGTGACAAGAGAAAGGGGACACATTTTCAAAAATGGCCACAGGGGTCATTGAGCTCCCTGTAAGGATTGGATTAAAACCAAAACAAAGGCAAAGACATTTTATGGGACCCCCAGGCAGAAATACTGCTCCCTCCTGGGATATTTTAGTGAACAATCTACAGACCACTGGAGAATCACATTTTTACTTGATGTCACCTTGTGATTCTAAATTCTTACAGTGTTTTTAAATATCACAAGAGTTAAGAGACTGATCTTGACAAATGAATCCTGGCAGTAATCTCTCAAGTTCCCATGTGGAATAGAGCATGGTTCTCTATTCTCTATCTAGCAGGTGATTTTGCCTCCCATTGGACATTTGGCAACGTCTGGAGAGATTTTTGATCATCATGACTAGAGAGAAGTGCTACTGGCATTTAGTGGGTGGGAGCCAAGGGTACTGCTAAACATCCCACAGTGCATGGGACAGCTCCCTACAACAAAGCATTACCTGGGTCCAAAGACTGCTTGTGCAAAGGTTGAGAAACCCTAGGAATAGCCAAGTCACTTTTCCTTTAACAGAATTAGCACAAGCCTGCTTATTTCCAGAGGATTTTGCTTCCTGAGTACCCAGCAAGTTTGAAGGAACTCATTTTCTTAGAGAAGCCTAAAAGGAGATGGATTGTAGGAAAACGGGGCTCTGGCTATGGGGTAGCAGGTGAGTGGAGACACCAGGCTCCCAAGTTGGCCCACGTTCAAGAAGTACACACGGGCCCTAACATGGGGAATGTAGTACGGTTCTGAGACAAGCTTCCCTGGCTTATCTCATGGGACTGAGGTGTTTTCCAAAACTTCTGATCATAGAATGTGTAGTATATATTTATATCCTAAGACTGTACCCATCTTTTTTGTAATGCTTTTCTTTGGTTTTTGAAAAGTATAGAAAAGGAATTAAGGGGCATGCTAGAATACACATTTAACATAAAATGGTCATTTACAGGGTCAAAGAACTTAAAAAAGGCGTTAAATGTTGTACTTCAGCTACAAGTCGAAATCGGACCTCTGGAAACTCTTCTCCAAAAAGAATTCAGAGCTCCCCTGTGGCCCTGCCAGGGGACAAGTGTTCTCCCAAAAAGGTCAAGCTGGGGCTTCAGCAGTCATTCATGGCAGCTCCTGGCTCCACGAAAGGGAAGGCCCATCCTCTGGCCAGCCACCCGCCCAACATCCCTTTTGCACCTGTACCTAAAATTCCTGGTAAGACAGGTGGACCCAGAGGGAGTCCTCCCCAGGAGTGGGTCATTCAGACCAGCCCTGTCAAAGGAGCCACGCAGTCTAGACATTCAGCTCAAAAAAGGGCAGAAGAATCTGCACCCTTGTGCTGTGAGAAAAATCAAATGGGCAACAAAACTGCCCGCAGGTGGGGAAGCAAGGCTGCCAGCCCAGGAGAAGCCCCAGCACGCGGGAAGCTACCCTCCAAGTGCAAGACAGTGCAGCCTGTGCAGCGGCAGCTGGTGTCACGGGCCGAGCTCTCCTCTGGCAGCCTCCACCACTTAGCAAAATCCGGGCAGGGCAGCAAGGGGAGCACATCTGCCAGGCCTGCCTCACAAGTGTGGACAGACGTCCCTCCACATCAGAAAGAGAGGGAGGAACATTTGCGCTTCTATCATCAGCAGTTCCAGCAGCCACCTCTCCTCCAGCAGAAGTTCAACTACCAACCACTGGAAAGGTTTTTATGCCAGTACAGGCCCCTGGAGGGGCAGTTCCAGTTCCAGAATGAGACCCCTCTCCCCTTCTGCTCTTACTCTGAGAGCCAGGATGGAGCCCATGCTGAGGATCTTGATGACAGTGATTTCAGTGAAGATTCTTTTTCACACGTCTCCAGTCAGAGGACCACAAAGCAGAGAAACACCCTAGAGAACAGCAAAGGCTCATTCTTCCTTCATCAGAGGGAGGAAGGTCCTGTGGAGGTGGCCAAAAGGCAGCAGAGTCTGCTTTTTAACCCTAGGACAGATGGTGACGAGACGGGTCCAACTGGAAACTGGATGTACTCTAGGGACCCCACAAACTACAGAGGAGCAGCGCTCAGTCATGGCCACGGCTCAAGTAAGGTGACTTTGGACTGCAACAGAGAGGAGTCTTCCTCCTTGGGGCTTTCCCCTAGAGACAACCCAACAGAGAAGCCTTACTGCTCACAGGTAGACTTTGTATGTGGCCAGGAAGGTGGTGGAGACCCACCCTCTGAACTCAGACAGAATGCTTTCAGAAGTGAGGTTCCTGGGCAGGTTGAGGGTAGTTCACTACCCGCAGAAGAAGACAGTTTCATTTTCTCACTATCCCATGAGGCATTTCCAGGATCTCCAGACCAAAGAGAGACAGTCAGCACGCCTGTGAGAGAAGTTGGCCAAGACAGCCCAAGTCACCCAATGGTGACTGAAACCATGAAAAACAGTTACCCTTACCAAGAAGACAACTGTAGAGGGGAATCAGACACATGTTCTGAATATGCTTCTGGACTGATGGCTCCCCTCACTGTGTCCCTCCTGGAGAACACAGACGACGAGGGCCCTCCTCCCTTGGAACGGCTGGCCCAGGATGGGCTTGCTCACAGTCTAGTGGCAGCAGGGGGCCCTCCTGTGGGCCACACAGTGTCATCCGGTGATCAGAAGGCACTCCTGCCAGTGTCTTCAGCAGCTGGGCACTTGTGGCTTTCATCATCTCCCCCTGACAATAAGCCAAATGGTGATCTTCCAGCTCTGTCCCCATCACCCATCCGTCAGCACCCACCTGAGACGTTGCCCATCAGTGAGACTGACCCAGGGGAGGTCTGCCAGAGCAGAGAGCCTGTACTCTCCTCCCAGGAACACTCGAGTAGCCAGCGGTGTGATGCTGATGCTGAGGTGGCAGAGCTGAGCAGCTCCCAGGGTTTTCCAGGAAAGCCCTTCCCCCACATACATACTGGAGGACCCCACCCTGCACCTCTGCTCACCGCACGAACAGAAAGTAGTGATATGGCTGACCAGTCCTGGGCACAGGAACGAAAACCTCCAAAAGGACTTGATTGGCAGGAGCTAAGTCTACTGAGAGACCCCATCAAGTTGCCCTGCTACAACAACAACATCGTGTGGTTCAAATACAGGCCGATCCCAAGGTGCTTAGCAAGACCAGGCTCTCCCCTGGCCCCTGGCTGCTCTCCAGAGACTGCAGGGACACTCCACCAGCTCACCCTGGGGCCTGCACAGTAAGTTGGACACCCTCCCCAAGACTGGAGGCCCTCTGGCATCCCTCCTCCCACCGCAACTAAACATTTGTCTGTTCTGGAAACGGTTATCATTGCTTCAGTGTCAGAGCTACACTACAACTAGACAGGCTTTGCCCGCTTTTCAAGGGAGCAGGCCTGCCCGGGTGGGTGAACCCTGAGTCTGGGAAAGCTGGGCCTTGAGTGAGAAAAGGGAGGATCTGTCCCCTTCAGCAAGCCTGGGACCAGTGGTGACATCAGAATCCTCTTCATTCTGTCGGATCTGTGTTCCTGGAAGTGCTGCCCAGGGACACAGTAGCTACAGCCTTGTGCCCTCAGAACCAAGGCAGGCTGGGGAACTTGCGAGATGGTGAAGGTCAAAAACAGAGGGACTGGTGATTTGTGCTGCTTTCTCCAAAGGATGCTGTGAATGGTGCAAGAGAGAGGCAATAGAAAGTGTAGAGAAAGGAGGCAGAGAGATCCAGCAGGGCCCCTCAGCATTAGGGGCCGGGGAGCTGGTGGGTATATGGAAACAAAGGCTACAGCCCTTTGCTAGGGTTCCTGGTATCTAGGCCAGCTGTGTGTCTCCTGCTCACTGGGGCTCAGGCCAGGGCCAGGGACAAAGAGGACATGGAGGGTTACACAGATGAGGAGCCTGCCTGTCCCAGGAGACGATCTTGCTGTCTCCATGGCCTCTACCCAGTGGTAGGATCTGACAAAAGGCAGATCCTCCAGTTTCGAACTCAAAGCCCCTGCTTTGGTCCCTGGACTCCCTCAGGAAGGAAAAATGATGGCAGGCGAGGCAGCAGTCCGCACCTTGTCCCAGGTGTGCCAGCTACAGTGGTCATAGCCTTGAGCCTTTTGGCAGGGAAGCCATGGGAAGCTCCTGTAGTAGGGGAGAAGCAGCACTCATCCCTGTCCCTCAGTGTAGCTGGGGAGGCAGGGACAGATCGAGAAGCCCCTCTGCCAGTATCTTCTTGGTATAATTTAGTCCCTAGATAAGTCCTGAGAATTACAGGTGACGGGAGGAGCGGTGGGGTGGCCCTGGTCAAAGTTTTGACCATTCTGAGGAGGGGCAGTTCCTGGCCTGGAAATGAGGCTTAGCCTCAGAAAGCTGCCTGGGAGAGATGCGAGGCCCAGGGGATCACACTATCCCCTCTGGTGTTCCCAGGCAGGTGGTCATCCAAGCACACCAGGAACAACTGGATAAAATGGCAGAACTGGTCTTCAAGGAGGAGACCCTGATGAGTCAGCTGTCTCTTCACGTAAGTAGCCTTGGCTAGACACTCAGGGGCTGGTGGGAATTAGCCTGCAGGTACTCTCCTGGCCATCCTTGTTTGCTGTGGTTATGGTGAAGGGTCTGCTGTCCTACTCTAAGAGGACTTGGGCCTCCTCTCGCCATTCCTCTGACATAGCTCAAGGGTTTGCACAGACAGGTGGGAGTTGGAGTTGCACTCCCCATTTCCAGGCTAAAATGTTTCCAGCCTCTATCCTTTGCCATTCTGCCTTTTTATTGGCTTGCTGGAGCCCCTCCCTGTGATGGTAAGTGACCTGCCACGTGCTGACCAAAGGCACTTTGTTTTGTTTTTCTAAATAGGCTCCACACCCAGTGGAGGCTTGAACTCACAACCCTGAGATCAAGACCTAAGCCAAGATCGAGAGCTGGACACTTCACTGACTGAGCCACCCAGGTGCCCCTCAGCCAGAGGTACTTTTGCAAAGATACCCCTCGCCCTGCAGAATACCGCTCTACATAGAAGTTTCTCAAGTGCAGGGGTGCATGGCTGGCTCAGTCAGTGAAGTGTGCACCTCTTGATCTTAGAGTTGATCTTAGGGGTTCGAGTCCCACACTGGATTTAGAGATTACTTTAAAAAAAAAAAGTCTCAAATGCAGAGAAATGAGCCTCATCCTGTGTCACAGGTAGTGTCCTGCAGGCTTTCTAGCTGAATAATGGGCCTAAGGGTTCTGAAAACTCCCTGCAAGAAAAGGGACTAGAAAAGCAGATCCTGACAGAAGGCCAACAAAACCAAAAGCTCCATTTGTCCTTTGTTTCCTTCCTCAGGATTTTGAAGATTTTGTGACCCAGCTGGATGAAATCCTGGCTCTGAAATCCCAGTGCATCCAGGGTCTGAGGAGCCAGCTTCAGCTGTACCTGGCCTGCCACAGGCCAGCCACAGCCCCTGAGAGGACAGTGGTGGCTTAGAACAAGACCCGGTATGAGGTGATGGAGCAGCTCAGGAGGCTGTGCTGAATTCCCAGGGGCTGGAGGGGCCTCTGCCATCTCCTTCCAGATCCTAGAACCCACTCCCTGGTCCTGCCCATGTTAGCCTCTCCCCAGCCACACATGGCCTCGATTAGGCCCAAGCCTATGTCCCTCAGTTCCAAGCACAGGAACATTTGTAGGGAAGGGCAGAGCAGCCTGAAAAACTTAGTATGCCCTCCTATTCCTGTGGTACTGGAAGAGTATTTATCTTACTGACCCCTTGTCTGTGGAGATAAGGTTCTAGAACAATTACTAAAACCGAGGACACTTGGTTCTAGTAATCTTGCGGAGGTTTCCAAATTTTGAGGACCAGAGGATGGGGTGGGCCAGTGCTAACCTAGAAGCTGGGGAAGAAAACATGATGAATTTCAGGAGCTTTGTTAGCTGAATGCTATTCTTCAAGACTCGACCAAAAACTAAAACACTCCCCATTAGCCCTTGGAGAGTGATGGGACAGGCCTCATGTCCCCAGTTACCCTCCCTCCCAGCAATTCAGAGACAGAAGAGAGTACCCACATCACTGCATTACTCTTTTTAACAACACTCATGCTCCTGTAGCAGTTCCTGGCTCCTGCCTCTTCACCTACCACACCCTCTCATGGAAAGTTAAGTGGAGGATCTCTTTGCCTTACCTTTATCCAGCATCACCCTGGCTGCCCACTCTCTCCCAAGGGCCTGTGTTCAGTAGTATCTTGGCACTAAAAGCTCTAGTCAACAGTCTGAGACTCTGAGGCAGAATTTTTTTTATACACGCCTCAAGACAAAGTGGTCACTTCCTAGGGCCACCTTGGGTCAGTAAGATGCAGGTGTCACGGTCTTGGCTCTGACGCCCCCTGTAATGTGCAGAAACTTAAATTTCTTACAGGGAAAGGATACCTTTTTAAGGTTTAAAAGGAGGGCTTAATAGGGTAGGAGAAGGTCTGACTGGCTTTCTGACTGCAGCCCTGTCATCCTTTGCCTGATCTGAACACTAGAGGGCGGCCTTTTTCCAGCTTCGTGGCCCAAAGGTTCTGCTGTCTTAATGATCATGTGATCCTTAAAAGAATTAGAGACCTGCTCCCAGCCAAAAGCACTAGAGGACTGTGAGATGACAGTTAAGTATAAGGACAAGAAACTTAAGGGAGCAATCTAGTTCCCTCAGCTACAGCAGCACCACCGAGAGCTAGTCAAACAGTCTGAATCCAGTCCTGCCTGCAGCACAAAAATGCCTGACGCGTCTCACAGGAAAAGGTACTTCCCCTCTTCTGAGTGAGTGCCCCAAAAGCCCAGACTGTCTGACCTCCACAGTCTTGCAGGAAGGCATGTCCTTGGTTCCAGAGACTGAGCTTAGGTCAGATTTATAAAGCCAGGGCCGACTGCATGGCCAGCTCCTGGGTCCCACAGGCCTATAGTGGGAGACAGTACTAAAAAGACAGAAAATGGTTAGTACCTGTTTCATCCCAGGCAAATCCAAGCAGGAATCCCTTTCTCACCCACCCCCACCCCTCCATAAAATAGCACTTGGCAATAAAGGAATTATCACAGCAGGACATACCTTTTAGATTTTTATTAGTAGTTCTCTGAAGAATCAAAATAGTTAGCAAATTAGATTCATCAAGACTGTATATCCTTTGTATTTATCTTTAATGATGTACAACAGAATATAAAACGAAAGAGACTGATTTCTATGACTAGGTGTTACTACTCATTGTGTCATCCTAGAGCAGGGGGCTGGAGGGAGAGGCTGTTCTCCAAGGAGAACAGAGGTGGAGTTAGTGCTGGGCTACTATACTGCAGCCTGTTTCTCCCCCACTCAGTGTGCTGGGAGGGGGCCAATGATTTCTTAAACTGACTTTCCTAGAGTAGGGGGCTCTAAAATCCTGGGTAGCAGAGGATGGTGGTCCAAACCAAGCCAAAAGAAAGAGGCTGGGGTAGGGAAGCATGGTAACTGCCTGGCAGATGAGGCCAACTCCACATCCCATGGGGAAAGGGCATTCTTTGCACCTCAGAGACATTACAGAACCAGTGTAACACTAAGAGACTTTGTTAAAGGAAGTGGGCAGGGAAAAAAACCCTGGAAGAACCTTTTCAATTGCACTCAACTTGGATTAGAGTTCAGTCCACCAGTGCAGTGGAGGGCAGCATCTAGCCCCAAAGCAGCACTGAGTCTGGCCCTCCCACCCCTTCTCCCTGACTCCTTTTGGCAGCTGGGCCAGGTTTCGGCTGAGGACGTACAGACCCCTGGAGGGCCGAGGTGGGAAGGACACTTCTCAAAATACAAATACATTTAATATAGAAGGAGCCAGGGCCATGCTGGAGGCATTCACATGCCTGAGTCTTTCCTACTTTCTCCCCAGCTCAGAGACTGGCAAGCACAGTCTCCACTCCTGACCTTCCACCCCCAAAAGAAAACCAGAAGTGTGGCCCTTCTCCTTCCCCACACATGGGCTCTTCAGGGCCTCCCGCAGGGGTGGTTCCATGGCAGGGCCTAGGCAGCATCTGGTCTCAGCTGGCTCCTGCCCGAGCCATGAGGTCTTCCAGAGCATTGTCCTGGTCATTGTTGTGTAGTAGCAGAACCTCCTTAATGTCTTTCAGTTCAAAGCCCATTTCCTTAAATTTGCTCATTAACTGGAGAAACTCCATCATCTAAGGGACAGAAGAGAGTAAATATTGAAGAAAGGGGTCAGGCCACATAGAGTAGAGGAATGTGCATGCAGGGGGCTGCCTGGGGAAGTCTACATCTTTTGCCAGAGGCTTATGAGTCCCTTTGAGGTCCCCTAGCAAGCTAAGGGCGGCTGTGGAGGAAGCCAGGGGAGAATGCTTGATGCTACAACCCATCATCCTTAAGGAATTTTGCCCAGTTCCAAATCCTGCTGACTCATGGGTCCCACTAACCAAAATCCACACTCACACCAATGCAGGATACTGAAACCAAAAACAGCTGCTCTCCAGGGAACAGGATAGGCAAAGCGACTAGCAGTGTCCCCAATCATCCAAAAGTCTAGCTTTTTGCCCAGGTCATTTCCCTTTTCCTTCCCTGGGACTCTAGTCATCTTCAACCCAATGCTTCATTAAGCCTAACTACCCAAACTAGCAATATGCCTATCTGGACACTTCAGAGAGAGTGCATTCTGGCTACCTCTGCCTGCAGTCACTGGCAGGCAGGGGGCGGTTCTTGGCCAGACGATGCTACTTTGTCCATCCTTTGCAGAGGGTTCCCATGAAGCACGAACGGTCCTACCTTTTCCTCTGAACACTGGTGCATTTCCAGAGCCTCTTCCACTAAAAGAGGGTCGAAGCCCTTCTCACAGAGCTGTCCATGTGCGAAGAGATAGTCGAGAATCTTAAGAAAAGAAAGAGGTGAGCACCTACTACCGCTCTCGACGGTGCTTTGCAAGAGTCTCACACAAGCCAGCAATGTGAGGTCTGCTCCCCACCTGGCTAGGACTGGATTCTGTATCGTGAACTGCATCCAACATAGCAGGACTTCAGTGACTATTTGCTGAACAGGTCGCCACACCCTTCTAAACCTGAGTAATTTTTCAAAGGAGTTCCTGTCACAGCTGACTCACATCTCCATGTCAATTCCATAGCCTGGACAGGATATTCTAACAGCCCAAATCAGAAAATGCCCCCAAGGTTTAGGACTCCAGTACCCTATTTGGGAACACCCCGGGGCAGCTTTGACAGGATAAACATTTGAAGGAGGCATCTCTATATCAAGCCTAATGTGCCCTCTCAGGAGGGGCAGAAAAGGGCAGAGAATAGTCCCAATGGCTCCAATGCTCCCAGGGCTTTCCTCCAGCCTAGGTCCCAGAGCAGCCCCCTAAGTAGGAGCACCGCTACTGAGGCTGCTGTCCCCCCGCCCCGCCCCCGCCCCAGCAAAATGCCCTGAGTCCTGCAACTCACCAGAAAGGACGCTGGGGCTATAAGTGTGATTGGGCTCTATGATACAAGCAGGACATTGGTCTAGGACCTCTCTCCAGCATGACCCCCTGTCCCACCCCGAGCCAACCACTCACTCACCTGCTCAATATTCTCTCCTTTCTTCTTCATGGCTCTCAGGACACACTCATATGAGTAGCCCATGTTGACCACTGTCTCCACACACTGCCGCTCACTGGGGGACAGTGTCTGCAGTTCAGAATAGGCCTGGGGACAGCTGGGAGTGTTGGGCACTTGTGACACTGAGAAATTAGGAGGTGTGACCTGGTGGTGAAAAAACAAGAGGATCAGGCAGGAAGAAAGAAGACTGAGGCCCCAGAAGCCATGTCACTTGAAGCAGCCCAGTCCAGGGGCTTGCCATTTCTGACACTAATCAAACTCCCAAACAATCCACTTGCAAGAAGGAGCTAGGTTGCTGGCCAGACATCCTGACGAGGGGTAAGGGAGCAAACAGGCAAGGGAAAGAAAAGCTGGGCAGACACCTAAAATTGTGTCTGTCCGCTGCCCTCATCCCAGCTTACAGAATGAGAAAATACCACAAAAGCCACATGCCCTTCTGTGTTTAAATCCCCTGGGCTTGAACTGGAGAAGTTCTGAGGCTGGCCATGGGACTGATAGCAAGATGGCTGCTATGATTTCTCTCTAGTGCTTCATCACCCCTTTCTCAGGCTGTTGTATGTCGAGTCCTAAAAGGATCATTTACCTCAGACACCCCTAACTTTGGGGCTGACTCTCTCCCAACAATGTCTTTATTCTTGCTTCCGTCCCTGGGCTGGGCAGAGACAGAGAGTACAGGGCCAGTTCAGGGGCTCAGGGCTTCGAGGGCGCTCCACCTCTGCCCCACACCATGAGCTGCAAAGGTTCAGTGCCCTGCCGCAGCTGCCTTCCTACACAGCCAAGACTGAAGGACTATTAGCCAGCCACAGCAGGCTGGGCCTTCAGGGACAAGATGGGATTCTTGTACCCTGCCTCTACTGCCCTGCAGGCAGCCTGCTCCCAGCCAGGGGACCCTATAAACCTCCATCTGATTGGTAGGTAGAGTCCCATGATTAACCCCTCCCACCACTTCTGGTAAGGATTCAGATGCAGGGCCTGAAGGCTGCTCACCCTCAGGCCAAAGGACTGAACCAACATGGAACAAGGTCACAGTTGTTTTACAGTTTGGGCCAGCTCCTGAAAACCAGGAAAGTATTTCAACAGAATTTTACCTCCTTTAGGGGGAGAGGGGAGGAAGCACAGAACCCCTAGTCTTAGACATTCAAAATTATATAGCTATAACCAGATACTTTCCTCAAAGTCAACTGGGAAAAATCAAGACTACAGGCCTTTAAAAGCCCATTGTTTCCTCTTACCCATCTCACCCCCAACACCCCTGGCAGCTCAGTCACAGGGCTCAGTCATTAAATTCTAGGAGTCACAAGAGGGGACAAAGACTCTGGCCACTTCTGCAGGTCCCAAGATAATCTCTCTTCTTGCAGGTCCCCAGATAATCACTCTTCAAGGACAGGGTCTACTTGGGCTTGAGAATACAAACAGCCAAACAGGGTCTGTTTATACTGCTGACACACAGTATGTTAATGTGAGCTCCCAGAGGTTAGTTACCATATCACCTGTATTTCTGAATTCCCAGGGCCTGGCTTTAGGCTTGGCATTTACAGGGCCCTACTCATCAGCTACAGA